TTTTAGGGCATGATGTTGCTCAAACATCAAACACCTACTATGCGATTTGAATTCATGCCACACCTATGTCCCTCAAATATATTGCACTTCCATATTTCTAAAGCCTTATTTCATACATATTATAGGTAAATTAGTAATAATCCTCATGACTTTAACTTCACCTAAGGCACACATGCAGATTTTGGAATACCATAAATGTTAGTTGAGTCTAGTGACATTACCATAGACTTGCTAGTGTCTCGTTCACCATCTACATCTTCCCTTTTTAAGTATGCCCCTCAACATTCTTCTTTTTGACATGCCATTTTTGTTGTTCCCTTTCATGGTATTCTTTTCCATTGTTTATTTTTTGGTATCCGTATAGATTCCATCTTTAGAAGCATACACATGATACTTTTCAATCCATATTCTACACAATTTTCTTTCCAACTCCACTTCACCTTTTACACCGAGAATTGAACAAACAAATATCGTTTCCCAACATTCGATAATTTCCTTGCAATACAAATGCCTACCACTTTTCCAAAAATCTCAGAATTCATCCACAATTCATTGTGATTTAGATTGATCGGGAACTTCGTTACATGCTATGATACAAAAATGTTGCAAATATCTTCAAAATTAGAGTGTTTATTGCCTTCATTTTTTTCTCTGTCCATCATGTTCTCAACACTGGTTCGTTGTTAGGCCTTTTGGAATTGTCATGCATATTCATCATTTAATGGGTTTGATATTCAAATCAGTGACATACTTATTCACGCATATATCATAGAGTATGATAATGATATTTTCACCCTTCTCCATTCGTATCCACATAACTTGTTACCTAAAGAAAGAATCATAGTATGCTAATCTTTCAGGTGCCTTATGTCTTTGTAACATCACAAAAATATGGTTCAAAATTTTTGTTTTAAAATTATTTAAGAAAACCATAAACCATCAAACATCACAATAAAATCATAAGTTACATATCTCAAATCATCATACAAAAAGCTGTATCAGAAATCATGTCTCAAAATATAAGAGTCTAAAACATCCCAAACTGTATGAATGGTGTGTGCACTATTATTATCCCGAGCTCTTCGCTTTACTACCGGAAGTACCTGAAACCAAAACTGAAAATTTTAAGCACGAAGCGTAGCGAGTATTCCCAAACAACCACATACCATACACATAAACACCTAATAACATACATTAGGCCTTGCCCACTACATCGGGCCCCACACATCATCGAACCGAAGTCTGGCATCTGGCCCCACCCGGCAGCAGGCCTTGCCTGGCATTGGACCGAAGTCCGGTATACATATAACATATCAACAAGCATGTAATATAACTTAAAACATAAACATATAAACTCAACCTTCCTCGGGCTTGCCCCGACATCGGACCGAAATTCGAAACATATAACACATAACATATAACTAAACATTCCTCGGACTTGGCCCGACATCAGACCGAAGTCCGAAACACATAACAATACATGCAAGAATCACAAAGACATCAAGCATAGAGACCTTCCTCGGGATTGCCCCGGCATCGGACCGAAGTCCGGAACACATAAACATATAAACTACATCGAGCTAACCCCGACATCGGACCTAAGTCCGGTATATGCTAACACACATAAACGTGTCAGCATTGGTGCCTTCGACCCGTTCCTACTGGAGGAAAAGTCACCTCTCAAGCTGGCTGCTGAAATCACAAGTGAGGAATCTCTGATGGCTGCTCCAACGACTCCTCGACTATAAATTCACAAGTTACACTTAGTCAAAAACTAAAAATCCTTCTAAGGGTAAAATGACTATTTTACCCTTGGTCAAAGTCAGCGTTCTGATCCAATTCAAAGTGAATGTCAACTTCCAGTTGACCCAACTCGTCGAGTTCCTATGCTATTCAGACTCATGATAAGCCGAGTCATCTCGTCGATTCCCTTCACAGACTCGTCGAGTTATGCTATTCAGACTTTGCATGTACCTTTATATGAGACGGACTATGTTTGAAAGAATATGATATTTGGTTTCCATAGGGGTAAATTAGTTCAAGGACTTGGAGTGTGCCAAAAATATTTAACATATCAAATGTAACAAAATAACAACACAATAACGGTATGATTACGTATATGCATATAAGTAGGTGTCGTCCGAAATTCGATCAGGAAACTTAATGCTCTTTATAGTAAATAATAATTTATTTTTGAACTAATAGCAAACGTGGATGGTTTTTTCTTATAATGATTGCCATTTTTTTTTGTTAAAGCTACAATGTTAAATTCAAAACAACAATTGAAAATTACACATTGAGTTGTGTTTTTGTAATTAAATAAAACAATAAACAAGCTACAATTTTTCTTTTTGATTTAATGTTCATTTTTATTAAGATCATAAAATTTGAAAATATTGTGTTCACGACATGTTTCCAAAAATTACTATTTGCCAACATTAACTTTTTTAATCATTTATGCTATTTTCTATGCAGTTTTTTTCAAAAATTACTATTTGCCAACATTAACTTTTTTAATCATTTATACTGTTTTCTATGCAATTTTCCTTGACCATAACTTAATAACTTTAAAATGTGTAATTTCATAAAAACAATCATAATATTGTGTCAATAATATCACAATCAATGTCAGTAGCAGTATAATCATAAGAACAATCATATATCTAAGAGGAAACTAGTTGTCAAATATAAACTATTAATTAAACCAATATCACTCATTATTCGCAAAGAAGTTTGTAAACAAAGTCTTTTTTTGGAAGAGACCAAAGTCTCGGCAAACTAAATTTTTAGTAAACGAAGTTAAAAACACTTATTTTTGTAATTTTATTTTATAAGCTATCATTTATATAAATTTGGTGTAAGAGGGCCCATTTATGTTATTTTATTTAAACACATTGTTTATGAATATTTTTAGATTGTGATATCCTTAAAATCACGGTCAGAAAAGACCGGTTTCATTTATGCTTTTAGAATAATTTCAAAGTAAATCCTTTTGATTTAAAAGAGTTGCGGAATTTGTTCCCAAAAACAAAACGTGATAAAATAATATTTACCAAAGCATTTCATAAAGAAATTTATTTTCATTATATAATCAAAACTCGGGATATCATGTTCCGATACAAACCATAAAGCATAATCAAAACTTGGGATGTCATTCAACATATATATATATATATATATATATATATATATATATATATATATATATATATATATATATATATATATATATATATACTTGTAAACAAAACAACTTGATGATTCATCCATCTTATGCCCTTGCGCCGCTTCCTGTAATACAAATAAACTGAGTGGGTCAGACTTTGGAGTCTGATGAGCATATAGGGTTTCCAACCCACAATAAATTATTAAATTAATTTTCATCAACCAACAATAGCCCAATTACCCATTCCCGTTATTCTCAATTTACGTCTTTAAAATAACTAACACAAGGGACCTACTCTAAGAATATTTCATCGGGCCGACAACACATGCTTCAGAGCTTTCCCAACAATATATGTCAAATAAGGCAACCATGAGGGGGATGAAGTACATCGAATGAACACCCAAGTTCACTAACACCTACAGGTGGTGAACCTGCTAGCGTTCCACAAGACTGTCTAGAAAAGTTTGTGGTCGTCATCTAAACTCCGCTAGATGACTAAATAAAAAACAACATCGAGGCTTCTCATCTGTTTATCACACAACTATCTACCCATGTTCTACCCAACATATTAGTAGATAAAAATATATATTTATACATAGTTTAAAACTTGTATATCATTCTCATTCAACACATATTCCAAACAACATATGAGACACATACACATAACACGTATTTCATAGAGAATAAATCATATCTATGAGATAGAAGAAAGTGAATATACATTCACGCATATAACAATACATAACACGTATTTCGTATAAAAAACTTCATAATTATGCGTTAGAAGAAAGTAACCATACACTCACTTGATCAGAAGATGATCGGACAATAATACGGCTTATAGAAGTAGTATTCTTCGGCAGATCTGGAAGATCTCCACAAAATCCGGGCTCCTCGCGGGCAGAGCTTCGGCTCGGGAATCTCACTTCTCGGGATCTTCGGGGCCTCGGGACTTGCTTCGGGGCTTGGGAATGATACCGGGGCTTCGGGATAATTCTTGCACGAAAAACGATGCAAAAACGCGAGAGAAATGGAAGAAATAAGCAAAAGAATCGGTTGCCCTCGACATCCTTTTATAGGGGCTGAAACCCGATTTACGCTAGGCGTAAATAGATTTACGTTGGGCGTAATGGGGATAAGACCGCTGACTTCCCCCCCCCCCCCTTGGATAATATCGGTATTTTTTATTTAAATTAAATACCGAAAATATTTAATAAACTTCAAAAATTCATATCTTCCTCGTACGAACTCCGTTTTCGACGTTCTTTATATCCGCGCGTAGGTGAGACTACGCTCTACAACTTTTGTTTAGACTCCGTTGGCTAATTTTGACTTTGTTTTTATTATTTATTTTTAGTAGGCCGGGACAGAAAAGCTCCGTTATATATTCATAACTTCTTCATCCGATGTCCGTTTTCGCCTGTCTTTTCATCGTTTCACTAAAATTAACGAGAACTTTGATTCTCGTTTAGATTATTTCGGCTAAAAATAGTTCGGTCTCAAGTCGAGTATTCGGGCTGCATACTGCTAAGTCGAAACTTAGAAAAATCATAACTTCCTCATACGAAGTCAGATTTTGGTGTTCTTTTTATGCACGCTCTCAGTTTAACGAACTCTACGGATTTCGTTTAGATCACTAAGGCTAAATATTGCTCTAACGTAAATTTCACTTTTTATGTCATTCAGCGTTGCCGGTTCTGTCGCGAAACTTCGACAGGTCATAACTTCGACAGGTCATAACTTCTTCGTTATAACTCGGATTTCGGCATTCTTTATATCTTCGGAATCCTTGTTTCGACCACTACATCTTTATGCAAAGATATTGGGATTATCTCATACTTTAATTTTGACGCTTATTTTATTCTTAATTCATTAAATTATAATAATTAAGAAAATAAACACATAATTCACATAATACTCAAATATTTTATCATTAATACTCCAAAAATAGTTACAAGGGTTAACCTAGACTATTACATAAATGATAATACCTAGCCTAGAAATACGGACGTTACATAAACACACCATTTATGTATGTTTTATTTGATGGTCCAAATGCAATAATTAGCAATATAATTTTATTTGTTTGTCAAAATAAGCATCTTAATTTACTTTCTATGTAAAGTTCTATAAAAAGTGTCAACATATATATCTTCTATCACTTATAATAAACACATCATACTTTGCAACATATCCATTTTTTAATGTTTATTTTGACACTTGTCATCATTTTAGTATCCGTTATGCCACATGTCATCATTTTAACACATCTTAGAATTGTTCACGCCATACTAATTAATGACGGGTTTTATTGAGGTATAAATGAAAATTATAATTTCCTATAATTAACAAAAATATTGTCTTTAAATGAAATTCAAATTCAACATTAACATATAATGAAACATTCTATATTTAAAATCATATAACTGAAGATTAATCCCAAAAAATCAAGCTTACATAATAGTTCATAAGCCTGCATTTGAAGTATTGGATTGCACTTTGAAACCCGATGCCTCCATATTACTAAAACAAACAACTTTGATTATTTAGGACATATTGTTCATAAACATGCATTTGAAGCATTGGGTCCAACTTTAAATGATGTGTTAAGTTATGGTAATGTTAGCAACTCACATGCATTTGAAGCATTAGGTCCCATTTTAAAAGTCAATATTCCGGTTGTGTTATTAAGAAAAATCAACCAAAAAATAGATTATGTAATAGGGTTAGACTTAAGGTATCATGGGTAATCATGTCATAGAAACAATGGTTATAATTAGAAGTAATATCACAAATCAAACTTTTATTTCAAGATTGTCTTTAATACCGTGAGACAAAAAATACCATTCAAATTCAAAAGATGATAACTTTTCTTTGTTGATTGTTTTGATATGACAATAAATAAAAGTCAAAGTTAATCATTATTAAATGTTGATTTGTTTTTGCGATAGTTTTCACACATGTGTAATAATATGTTGTTTTATCCAGAGTAAAGAGTAGAGAATAATTGAAGTTGTTGTTTTTAGATAAATATGATAATTCCATCGATAAAACTTCAAATATTATATACGAAAACAATATTTTAAATTCTATCTTAAAATTTTATGTTTATTTTAATCTTCACATTAATTAATTATATATTAAATATCAATTATATGATTAAATAAAATTTTATCTTATTATATTAATGGTTTTAAAGCTCATCCTCGTTTTCACGGATTATAAGGTTTACAAAATAAATAAATAAAAATGTTTGCTTTAGCATCTCTTAAAAAAAAAAAAAAAAAAAAAAAAAGACTTGATAGAAGAAACAAACTTCGGACTTCCTTCTATAGACGAGGGAGGCGCTAAAGTTGGGGGAAGTTTCTTCCCAAACCCCTAAATTGAAAAATTAAAAAAGCGCAAAATTACCCCCTCCCATTCCCATCCTTCTCTTCCCTAAAATCATCTTTGCAAAACCCTCGCTCCTCAAAACTCTACCCCTCTGCCGTTCTTTGTTTCTTCTTCGTTTTTTGCTTATAAACGTATCAGTATTGAACCCTAATTGACATTCGATTAATATTTGTTCATAATCCACTCTTTCCTTCACACAACGCATTTTGTTTTCTTTTTTTCTTGTGTTCTTGTTGTGGTTTCAATCCGTTTTGGAGATGGTCTCTGGTTCGCGAATCGAAGGGGGGAACGGGACACAGAATTTATCAGCTGGTGTTCGTAGAACGATTCAATCGATCAAAGAAATCGTTGGTGATCATTCGGATGCTGATATTTACTCTGCCCTTAAAGAGGCCAATATGGATCCTAACGAGACTACTCAGAAATTGTTAAATCAAGGTTTTGTTACATGGAATTTCTTTAGTTGGTTTGTTTATGCTTCCGTATTGTTTGTCACCGTTTCGATTGATTTGCCCAAGTAATATAGAATTGGAGTAGATGTATTGATGGAATCTGTTAAGGGCTTGTAGTTGGATATCACAATTTAAAACTATGTAGGGGCATTAAAATGTATTTCAATTGAGAAGCTTAGACAATATGAAGCGACTTCATTTTTAGGGTTTGGCAAATTCTTTGTTTTTACTAATTACTTGTTCAGCTGGCACTTTCTTCATCGTAGTCTCACATGACTTTGGTTTTGTTTCTTTCGTTATTTAAACAATGGAGGGTACTAGCATGGATAAAGTCCACAGAAAAGCCAAGAAGGCGATAGTTTGTTTGTTTATCGCCAAAAATTGTGTAACTTATGCGAAAGTGGCACATCGTGTGCTCTGCTTATGGTCTTTTCTTGCACTCATGCACTCTGATTCCAGTTATTGCAACTTTGTGTCATCAAAGTAGCAATATGTAGACCCAACAATCAGGAATATGTTCAGTGTTATCTCATGCATTAGACCCACTGCTAATGGCAACACAATATTTAATACAGAGCCATTTTTAAAAAATCAAAATAATCACAAATCTCTTTAAGATGGCACTGAATAAGGTGGTTGGTGGCATCATGGAAACTCTTATAAGATGTCACTGAATACAGGGGGTTTGTGGCACATAAATGCTGTTAGGAATCAAAATTTTATAAACCATTACAAATAAAACAGAATATACATACAGCTTTACCTGTGTTAATAGGAAACTGGAAGATGCAATAAGGACAGTTTTTACTTCGTACAATTTTGATATATGCAGAAAGAACATTGTGCTTCTCATGCTACTCTTACTGTTGATTTGTGTAACTACTTATGCTTTTTCTTAATTTATTTGTTGTTTTTTTTATCAGATCCATTTCATGAAGTTAAAAGGAAAAGAGATAAAAAGAAGGAGGTTTGTATTCCTAACTTTTCATATTCAAGCTTTCTTTCTGCAAATAAAGAATCACGCATCTTTCTTAAATCAATGCTACTTCAGAAGGCTTGCATATAATAATATAATATTACACTTACTTTATTTCAGGTTACACCATTCAAGGCACCTGTGCCTATAAAACCAAGAAAGCCCACTGAACAACCAGTTCAAGAGATAAAGCCCAATACATATCCAGAACGTAACCCTAGAAGGCCAGGTTATAATTGGAATAATGCACCTGGTAATTTATTCTTTCATATCTTAACATTTTCATACTCAAGTTAATCATATTATTATTATTATCTACTCTTTCTTTTGATCACCTGTTAATGATTGGAATCTCACTAGATACAAGAGTAAGTAGACAGTTTCGTGTTGTGAGAGACAACAGAATCAATCAAAACAGACATAGAGATATGAAGCCTCCTGCTAAACCCTCAGTAGCTGTCCCCACTAAAGAGCCACTAATCTCAAACATATCTGAAAAGAGGTAATTACGTTTTTACCCTTATCACCATTCAACTTTAGATTAATTTTTTGTCTATTACATGTGGCATTCACAATCATGCAGTTCCTCAGAGACTTCCAAAAATCCAGAGCAAAATTCTTCTCAATCCCAAAACATTCCACTTGATTCTTCACTCCCCAAACAAGTAAAAACTGTTGGTTCAAGTGGTAAGAGACCTGTAGTTTCTAATGTGATGCCACCTGTCCAACAAGCAACAAAAACACACGATTCACAACAATCTTCTGTGACATCACCAAACAGTTCAGTAGTAGGAGTGTATTCTTCTTCTTCAGACCCTGTTCATATCCCCTCTCTTGCATCCAGACCAGCTGCAAATGTTGGTGCCATAAAACGCGAAGTAGGGGCAGTTGGTGTTAGGCCACGTCACACATCTTCTGAAAACTCTCAATCAGGAAGAGAGGGGCAATTTAGGTCTTTTCCTGCCATTTCTAAGACTGAACAACCATCTCACTCAAATGTGTCTGAATCAGTGCCTATTGTATCTGCTGGAAGTGGAAGTGGAAGATCCTTCAATAATCAGTATAGTAGCAGACCACATCAACAACTTGTCACTCATCAGAAAGGTATGCAGTTACATTTTTGCTCCTGATATTTATTTACATATTGCTACATCAGTAAAAAAAACTGTTATAATGTAAGTAGTAAGCACATTGCTATTATTGGTTACATATGGTTGTCTTAAAATGTAGCCCCTCAAGCAAATAAGGAATGGAAACCAAAAACAAGTCAAAAACCAAGTGTTACTGAAGTGGGAGTTATTGGAACACCAAAAAAGACCACATCTACCCTTGTCAACAATTCCAAGGACATGACCACAGAATCAGATAAATTACCAAATTCAAGCACAGCACACGAGGATCAAAACGTCATTATCGCAGCACATATCCGTGTTTCCGAAACCGACCGTATTCGCCTCACTTTTGGCAGCCTCGGAATCGAGGATTCCCCCCAGAATTCTGGATTCCAAGCTGTCGAAGTGTCGCATGCTGAACAACCTATTATGGCAAGGTATTTATTTATTTGTTTTTTTTTTTTTTTCCTTATGAATCATAATAGCAATGTTACTTATATTGAAGTGGATGACAGTTTATCAGCCAGCTCATCACCAGTCTCTTCAGACGAACCATCTGGTGGGACCCACGTCGAGTCGGTAGATGAACCTGTCCCAAGTTCCGGTTCCGGTTCCGTTTCCCCTGTTTCAGAACAACAATCGAATGAAAGACTGGAGTCTTCAAGTTCACAAAACATGGAAAATTACACAAATATTAGACTTGTGAGACAGAGCAGCCCTTCATATGCACCTTCAGAGCCACATCAGCAGCAACCACCCCCTTCAGAATTGCCAAGTTTTTCAGTTAGTATACTCTCTTTTATTCTTTTTTGATAGTTTATTATTTTGTTTTAATTAATGTTGTGTTATTTGTTTATAGCAGGCGTATGATCCTCAAACTGGATATGATATATCGTATTTCAGACCAGCTACTGATGAATCAGTCAGGGGTCAGGTGCTTCAAGTCCCTCAAGAGGTGAAGTTTTATTAAACCAATCATTTTAATATATAATTGAAGATTCTGATTGATGAGAGGTATGGAATGGTTTATTTTTCCACAGGGATTTACTTCTCATGTGGCTAACACCATTCCTGCAACCACAATTCCCATGGTACAACAACAGCAACAACAACAACAACAACAACAACAAGTGGCCCAAATGTATCCACAAGTTCATCTTCCTCACTTTGCTAATCTAATGCCATATCGCCAATTCCTTTCCCCTGTTTATGTCCCACCAATGGTGATGCCGGGGTACTCTAACAACCCTACATATTCCCCCCACCCTCACCCCCACCCCACCCCCACCCCCACCCTCACCCCTCTAGTGGTAGTAGCTACCTTCTCATGCCTGGGGTCAACCCTCCTCCTCCTCATGTAAATGCAAATGGAATGAAATACGCGATTCCACAGTATAAATCTCTCCAAGCTGGCAGCCCTACTGGATTCGGGAGCTTTACTAGTCCTAATGGCTACGCGTTGAACACTCCTGGAGTTGTCGGAAGTGCCTCTGGAATTGATGATTCCGCCCGGCTTAAGTACAAAGATGGGAATGTTTATGTCCCAAATCCTCAGGTAAACCTCGTTGCTATTAATCTGTTTTGTTCACAGTTTACCTTTACATTTATATAATACAAGAAACTCATTCCATTCCTACAATGGAATGTAATGACTGATTCCATTCCAGGCGGAGACATCTGAACTTTGGATGAATCCAAGGGACATTCCGAGTCTACAATCGGCATCATACTACAACATGGCGGGACAAACGCCACATGGCGCGTATCTACCTTCACACACTGCACACGCTTCATTTAATGCAGCGGGACAATCTTCTCATATGCAATTCCCGGGGTTATACCACCCGCAACAACCGGGTGCTATTGCCAGCCCCCACCATATGGGCGGCAATGTTGGTGTTGGAGTGGCGGCAGGGGCTCCCGGAACCCAAGTTGGTGGTTATCAGCAACCGCAGTTAGGTCAAATGAGTTGGACAGGGAACTTTTGAGAGGAGAGGGTGGGTGGTTATGGATATGGATATCGGGTTTTTATTATTGTATGGGGATTGAATTTTAGTTATAGAAGTGTTTTTTTTTTTTTTCTTCGTGTTTTGTTTATGAAAAATGGTTCTTCCCCTATCAATGATGCATAAGGTCTTGTTTAATTTCCTAAAATAATAATGGGTTAACCAAGGATACAGGTGTTAATTAATATAGCTAGGTCTGGTATTATTATACTAAAACATAAACCGAAAAAAGTCGTTTTTAGCTTCATTTGTTTTTGGTTTTTTGTGTCGTGTAATTTTGTTCTGTCCGTTTTCATAACAGAAAATAAAAATAAAAATCAAACTGAGTGTTTCTTGGTTTTGGTGAGTAACACCTGGTTTTAATTTCATCAACACCAACAAAAAGTATGTCGTTTGGTATATAGGGTTGATGCTATAAAATACTAAGAAATATCTCAAATCTATTTTTTAAATTTGTCTCAACCTTCAAATTTTAAATATCTCTTACTTGGTTATATAAAAGTTCCATTTTAACCTGTTTAACCGATAAAATATAAAGAATAATAATTACATTTTTTTCAGTTATACTTTTTTAATAATTAATTTTAAGGTATGTTGAAAAAATCAAAAGATCCTAGTCACACCATTATGTATATTTATTTCTTCATAAATAACTAGAAAAAATGTTAATTTTCTATTATTTTTGTTAAATCCAATATTTAAAGTATTTAAAATCATAATTATTCAAAAATAAAACTAATTAATATCTAAACATCATTATCATTATAAAAATATACATATTATTGAATTATTTTATTTCTACCACTTGTCTTAACACAAGTTTTTTAGTGTTTTATTCGAAATAAGTTTTAAAAATAGAATCTTAGAATAAATATAGACAAAGAAAACTTACAAAAAATATATTCGACCAAAACATTAAAAATAAAAATAAGATATTCGAGCAAAATGTTAAAAAAATATCAACGATTAAAATGTCAAAAAAAATATTAAAAAATTAATTCCAAAAAATATCAGAAATACTAAAAAAGAAAATCCAAATAAGATGTCAAAAAAATGCAAACAAACAAAAAGTAAAAAACTTGAGTGTATTTTTATAATTTAATTATTATTATATTCATCTTTATGATTTGAGATTTTTTTTTAAATGTATTATTAGAATACGTAATTTAATGTATTTTTTGACATTTTGTTCGTTTTCGAGTTATACACAGGCTATTCCGAAATTGGCGTCGAGTTACACCAAACCTAATCGAAATTCCCAAAAAAAGAAGATTATATCAAACTTTTCTATTAAACAATAGAAAAGTTTATGTACAAACGTCATAAATATAAACCAATAAATTTTCAAAAAAATAATAAACAATATATATAATTGCCGTTGAAAAACCAAAAGATTTTACAAATTATACAAACAAAAATAAATAAATAATTTTAATAAAGTTAATAATAAATAACAAGATTTAAAAAATTAATCTATATTAAAAAAACATAATAATTTCACAACTCCAACTTTAAACAACCATAACTTATTCGTTTCAAATCCAATTTCACTGATCTTTATATCATCGCGAAGATATTGTTGAGTCTCATAATTCTATCCAATCACTTATGAATAACAACATACTGAATTAAAATCATAATCCATGCAAGAAGTCTGAAATATTAATTTTGCTATTTTACCCCTTTAGCTCGAAAATATAGTTCAATGTTTAAATCATTTATCCAACATCGTCGACATCTAATAGGGTGTAAACTCTATTCCCTTGAATCCCATGATCTTTACATGGTCGAATTACGGTCCAAAATCCCAAAATAAGATACATCTCGAAACTGAATGTTACAACTCTCCCCACTTAACTTTGATTTCTTCCTCGAAATATGTCCTTATATCTTACTCTTACAACACCAGTCAAAGCCGCCCGAGCTACCAAAATCCAATGCAACACTGAAGAACAAGAATCACTTCAAATAGCTGACTTCCTTCTGAAAACGTTACCATATCAAACTACATCCATGATGATCTCAATTCACAACCCAAGCCGACCAGAACCTCTTCGACCCTGCATCGTCTTACTGATATCTGGGAAACAAAATCCATAACCATTCGCCAATTTCGACAACCTTGCACCTGAATACGAAGGTGGCTCCCAACACCAGCGCCAACCATTGATGCTACCCCCAACACATACATTGCATCCGGCTGACCAAAAGTTCGTAAATTCGATCCATCCAAGATCCTTTTGGTTTCGTGTTGTCCTTCCAATAAAATGAAACGCAGAAACCCCGATCGATTGCTGAAGCCGGAAACCTCACACACGTTCGCGCGCTGAGACTCCAACCAAGAATCTAACTGAAAAAGGCTATCCTAACCTACCTGTCAACATGGATCCAACAACTATCCTGCCAAAACATTAGGCAAGTGACCAACCAACAACGGAAAATAACAAGTCCATTTCACTTTAGGTGAATGCTATAAACCAAGTCGTAGTCTTACATCACACCCGACCCTAAAATATCCTGCAACCTATCCCAAATCTATAAAAATGCTGTAGCCATCCCATAATCTTACAACCACTCCTGTAGTGGCCTTATCTCGACCTAATGATTGCTACGGGCTAGACTGTAGTCTTTCAACACTCCCATAAAGGCTTACCTAAACCTAGTGAATGCTACGAGCCAACATGTAGTCTTACAACACCTCCACAACAACCTAACTCAGCCCAATGAATGCTATAGACCAAACCGCAGTCTTACAATACTTCCACGATTTCCATGGGACCTTCCCATGGTCTTGCCAACTATTCACCAAAATACTTAGCCATAATAACCACAAGCTGAACTAGCCAACTCAATCCTATCAGGCGTTTGGGTAGCGCTTTGAAACCCAAAACCTTACTCAGAAAAAAGGCAGGGAGGTTCCTATACAACCCTCAACCTGCACCTATACAAAAACCCAAAATACGCCGCTACCGATGCTTCACGTCTTTAGACAAGACAACTTGATTCCTCTGATTTGTAACATCCGTGATTCCAAGGTATTGCTAATTTATTTAATCTTGCATTTATTGTTTCGGTCCATGAAGTTGTTTGGGCTTAGAGGTTGGGCCTTTTCGTGTTTGGGCTAGCTGAAGCCGTACGCTGGGCGTAAGCCTGGCATACGCGAGGCGTAGTTGGATCAAGGAAAACACGGAGCCATACACGCACACACAAGATACAAAGTAGTACGCGCAACGTACATGTGCTAACTGAAAACCCAAATTTTTAGGGTTCAAGCCATATAAATATGTCATTATGTCCCACATCACAACCTCCTTATCAGCCTCGTTAGCTCAGGAACCCTAAAATCTAACCCTTATCATCCTTGTGTGTTTTTCACCTTGTGGAGATCATTTTGGTAGCTTGAAGCCTTGTAAAGAAGAAGAGGAAGTTGGTGAAGGAGAATTAATAAAGCTTGGGCTTGAAGAACCGAATCATCATCATCATCATCATCGTCATTTAGCACCTATTTGAGGTATAAAGTTCAGAACTTTCCTTATGAATGCTTAGATATCTTATGTTTGAGTTTTAGACCTTTTTGGTCCCATGGATGAAGATTTATTGAGCAAGGTCGTTTCTTAAGCTTAGACTTGCCACTCGTGGTGTTATTTGAGTCCTTAAGTCATAAAGTTGCCATCTTGGAGGTCTTGAAGCATCCATGCATGAGTATTGGTCATTTATAAGGAAGTAGGTTGTCATATTCCAAGTTTAGGTTCATTTTGGGGGCATGCAAGCCGCCAAGTGGTCGACTTTATAGGTTAAGACCTTTCATTGGACTCAGATCTGTGGTTGGAGCCTCAGATGTTAAGGGTTTAAGTGCTTTTTGGGATTTTGGCTTAATAGGAGAGTATGATGGGCATAGAAAGTGGTACACGCAGCGTACAAGCCATGCGACCTATACGCTTAGCGTACAAATGAGTATGCCCCGCGTACTCACTGAATTGGGCTTTGCGTTGTTTGGGCCTCGGTTTGGGTTACTTCCATGGATTAGTGACTTGGGCCATGGTGGACCATCTCGAAATGGACCAATATACTAGAGAAACATTATTAGGCCTTGGGCTAAGGTCCATGCGAAAGGATTGGGACCAATTGGAAGTTAGACCATATTTTGGGCTTCATAGGATTGTTTATCTTTTGGGTCATGGGTTGTGATTTAAGGTAGGGGTGAGAAAAAATCGAACCGCAAACCAAAAAAACCAAAAAAACTGCATAAACCGAAACCAAAAAACCAAAACCGAAATGAAAACCGATGGTGTGGTTTTTAGTTTTGCAAAAACCGAAAATACTCGGTGCGGTGCGGTTTCTAGTCTTGCAAAAACCGCAAAAACCGAACCGAACCGCACCACACACACACACACACACACACACACACACACATATATATATATATATATATATATATATATATATATATATATTAAGTGTTGATATTCGTAAGAACCAAGAACTTATGACAATTAAAATTTCTATAAATATAAATATCTATCTTATCTATCAGAGGATGATTGTATATTTTTAAGCATACATTCAATGGTATTTACAATAACAAATAATATTTATGGCATTTTTTAACATTTAAATATGAAGAGTACTAGTGATATAGTATCATTTTTATGAATACATTAATTGATATTATTGTATGTGCTTGTGAAACAAATAATATATTAAATTCGTATTATATTCAAACATTAGAAACATGTTAGATGAGTTGTTATGTAATTTGATTTCAAACCAAGAGATGGTGGTATCGGTTTATCTCCAATAAATCATTAGCACTCATCAGCTGAGTCAAAGTAACTCGCTAAGTTACTTGAGTTTTTGTAAAAAGACAAAAAAAAAAAAAAAAAAAACTAATAAAAAACCGCAAAAAAACCGAACCGCAAAAAACCGCAAAAACCGAACCATATAAAACCGAACGGTGCGGTTTCTAAATTTGAAAAACCGAAGTTGCGGTTTTCGGTTCAGTTTTGGTAAAAAACCGCACCAAACCGCACCATGCTTACCCCTAATTTAAGGACCAAGTTATGTTAGGTGTAAAATAGTCTTTTACCCTAAG